AGCGTGGATCAGGCTTCCAGAACGGTGGCGGTTTGATGGAGAGCCGTGCATTGTGGAAAGAAGTGATAGCGTCTTCGTACCTATCTTCGCCTACGTTCACCATATTATGTTCTTAGCGGGGTCACCAGTTATAGAATCGTTACTTCTATACGTCTTTAATAACTTAGAAATTAAACAAATATAAGTTGCTTTAATACACGGAAAATTCTGACTTTATTAGCGTCGCTAGAAAATACGTTGAATGAATGAAGTTGGTTTCAGTTAGTACAAACGAATGTCAAACAGCTCTGTTCTTCTACTGGTGTTGCCACTTACTACTGCGACAAGTGTTAGGGTTGGTCCCTACAGTAGCTTATGTCGAAAGGCTGGCTTTAGTATAATGCGGCATTCGCAGCATATGATTACCTTACTGGCGCCGAGCCGTTGAAGAACTTTTGGCAAATAAACGTGCAAGAAATAGTTCCGATACTAGCAAGTCAACATTCTTATTAAGTCTTATCAAAAAATTCCTTGTCGTTTAAAGGATAAAGGNGTGATAGCGTCTTCGTACCTATCTTCGCCTACGTTCACCATATTATGTTCTTAGCGGGGTCACCAGTTATAGAATCGTTACTTCTATATGACTTTATTAACTTAGAAATTAAACAAATATAAGTTGCTTTAATACACGGAAAATTCTGACTTTATTAGCGTCGCTAGAAAATACGTTGAATGAATGAAGTTGGTTTCAGTTAGTACAAACGAATGTCAAACAGCTCTGTTCTTCTACTGGTGTTGCCACTTACTACTGCGACAAGTGTTAGGGTTGGTCCCTACAGTAGCTTATGTCGAAAGGCTGGCTTTAGTATAATGCGGCATTCGCAGCATATGATTACCTTACTGGCGCCGAGCCGTTGAAGAACTTTTGGCAAATAAACGTGCAAGAAATAGTTCCGATACTAGCAAGTCAACATTCTTATTAAGTCTTATCAAAAAATTCCTTGTCGTTTAAAGGATAAAGGGAATGCCACATTATACTAAGGCCAGCTTCTCGACATTAGCTACTATTCCATACGAACACAGATTTATTTCTTCAAGAAAATTTATAGCAAAGACAAAGTATTTTTAAAGCAACAGAAAATATTTCTTATGATTTTTTTTTTGATAGCTGGCTTCTAAGCTTTTGCTGTAAAGTTTCTTGAAGAAAGAAAAATGGGAAAATTTTAGTAGACGGACGGCAAATTCTAGAAAAAGGGGGGATGAGGGGGGGTAGAATAGGACCCCCTGATTTCAAAACTATCCCCCTTTTTTCTAGCAACCCTATAGTTCTTATATAATTTATTGTTAAAGTTTTCATATAAACGATGAATAAGATAGCAAAATAACATACAACTTAGTGCCACCAGACTGGAACTTTGAATAATAAAAGCAGATTTTTAATTCGGAATTTTTACTTAGTAGAATTATTATTTCTGTGTTGCCGAAGAAGGGGGGGCTGAACACATTTTGCAGAGAACACCTTTCTGCGTAGGCGGCCTTCGGCCGCACTTAGGGATTATAACCCTCAGGCAGTAGAATTCTCCTTTCTGTTTTGCGAAGAAAAGGAGCTGAACATGACCACCTTTTGCAGAGAACACCTTTCTGCGTAGGCGGCCTTCGGCCGCACTTAGGGATTATAACCCTCAGGCAGTAGAATTCTCCTTTCTGTTTTGCGAAGAAAAGGAGCTAACCACCTTTTGCAGAGAACACCTTCCTGCGTAGGCGGCCTTCGGCCGCACTTAGGGATATAACCCTCAGGCAA